AGGGTGACAAAGTAAGACTGTCTCAAAAAAAATAAAACAACAAAAAAAACCCTCCCTTTAAACTCCCCTCCCTAAGTGGATAGTCTCATTTTCCAAATAAGCTAAAGCTCACCAAATTATCACTGTTCACTGTAAAAAACGCTTCAAGAGAGAGACATGAATCTTTTACTTCAAAAGCTTCATGTTGCAGAGATAGCCAAAATCATGTGACTGCCAGCCTCAGCTCAAGGAGTGTGCCTATATCATCACAAATGGGATTCTTTCTCTTTTTATTAATTTTGAAAGGGAGCAGTATCATTTTCTCACAGGTGCTCCAGTTAGGCTTCTCAAATCCCCGAGAGGTTAAAGACCAGAGTTTTGGTGGCTAATGCAAAAACATAGTGAAAATTGTGAAGGTGACCTTTCAAAGGCAGGAGTGAAAGGCTTCTGGTCTCCAAAGCAAAATATGCCTAATATCTCTAGGATCCTAGGACCTGCAGTGATCTCAAATCAAGTTGATTCACAGAAAATAATATCCTTTATGAACTGAAGTCATTGCTCTCCAATTTACAATTTTTTTTTTTTTGAGACAGAATTTGACTCTAATGCCCCAGGCAAAAGTGCCTTAGAGTCATAGCTCATAGCAACCTTTAACTCCTAGGCTCAAGCAATCCTCTTGCTTCAGCCTCCCAAGCAGCTGGGCCTACAAGCATGTGTCACCATACCAGGTTACTTTTTCTCTTTTTAGCAGAGATGGGGGTCTCACTAGTGCTCAGGCTAGTCTCAAACTTCTAAGCTTAAGCAATCCACCTGCCTCATCCTCCCAGAGTGCTAGGATTACAGGTGTGAGCCCCTGCATCTAGTCCAATTTATAATTTTTTAACCTTAAAATCTAAAATGTTTTACTACTTTAGGTGACATCTAAAGTGACATGGAAAACAGAGCTTTCCTGGATAGTGATATCGCCATTGCTTACCCCAGAGCACAGAGGGTTCTCTGGGATGCTCTCCTGCCCACACCATGCAAGGTGGTATCTTGAGGAAGGCAAGGCTTACATGGACAGCTCCACAGCCTGGAAGCTGTGTGTTTCAAGTCTCAAGGAAATAGGCTCCATCCTATAGGGCTCAAAATAAACAACTGCCATCTCGACTGGGCAGTATGAACTGCACAAAGCCTTGGACCTGACCTCTTGTAGAGTCTTTCTATAATTGCAACATTGGGAGGCCCTGAGGCAGGAGGATCAATTAAATCTAGGAGATCAAGACCAGCCTGAGCAACATAAAGAGACCCCCACCCCCCAAAAAATTAGCCAGGCACAGTGTTGCTGCCTATAATCCCAGATGAGGGAGGCTTAGGTGGGAGGATTACTTGAGCCCAGGAGTTTGAGGCTGCAGTGAGATATGATCATATCATTGCATTCCAGCCTGACAGAAGAGACCTTGTTTCTTTCTTTCTTTTTTTTTTTTTGGGTAGAGACAGAGTCTCACTTTATGGTCCTCGGTAGAGTGTCGTGGCATCACACAGCTCACAGCAACCTCCACTTCCTAGGCTTAGGCGATTCTCCTGTCTCAGCCTCCCGAGTAGCTGGGACTGCAGGCGCCCACCACAATGCCTGGCTATTTTTTTGTTGCAGTTAGGCCAGGGCCGGGTTTAAACCCGCCACCCTCGGTATATGGGGCTGGCACCCTCCTCACTGAGCCATAGGCACCACCCAAGAGACCTTGTTTCTTAAAAAAATACATAAGAAGAGCTAGAAGGGCCATCTGCATTATTTCCATCACCATTAAATAATCTCCTCCTCCCCATAGCCCCTCATCTGTCTTCCATGTCTCATATTTTTTGTAAAGATGCGGATTTTCTTCTTAAATGTGGATGGGAGCAAGATGAAGCTATGTTATAAATTTTAATTCTCATTTCCAAACTCTCATTTCCAACCTCACTGTGAAGATTTCTCTAGGTATTTCCCACAATTCTAAATTCACTCTCAACTAGGACAAGCTCAGAGAACACTCCAGAAATATAAAAATCACAGCTGTGGCAAAAATTGCATCATTGTGGCTATTAGATTCTTTTTGTGAACTACAAAAGTGAAATTGGCTCAGGCTAAGCTGTCTTTTTTCTCCTCAGAGTTGACAACGGGGACTCCAACAAAGGTATCAATACAGTACTAAATGGAAATGAGAAATATTGAAGTACAACATGTGAAATGTGCAACAGGTCTAACAAAAGACCTACTATATCTCTGGTTAAAGAGGTTTAGCAGGAGGCTCCAATGAGCCCTGTATGTGAGGAGAAAGGGGAAGGAGGAAAAACAATTCTGTATGAAACTTTTTTCTTCTTTTAAAAACCACAAAGGGTGACTGTTTCCTTCTAAGCAAGCCTAAGAAACCTTAGCGGCCTGACTTCTCTCTTTGCCATCAAGAACCTTGACTATGTAGCAACATGCACAAAACAACTGCACAACAGTTCCAGAGGGCATTGACCTACTTTGCTCCCTAGAGGCTACAAGAAGCAAGGTCTCAAGCGATTGTGTCATGGGACCGTGTAGCACAATGCAGACAGTGGAAATTCTGCAGGGATGCCACCATCTAGGAAGCCTTCCTTGGCCTCAGAGCAGGTGATACTCCCACATCCTTTGATCTCCCCAGATGGCTCAACCTAGACTCAGCAGTGAGGGAGACTCGTCCATGCAGTGGAGATGAGCTAGAGGCCACTTATAAAGACAAAGCACAGTCAATCCATTAACTGTTTCATCCTATGTTTCCTATAAGAAAAATCATAACTCCTGTTTTATGGGCTGCACTGTTTCTAGACGGCTACAGAAAATCTAATATGGTTGACTCCTGTGCTCTCTCTCTCTGAGATACACACACACACGTATTTCCCCAATGGCTGCAACTTATAAACTAAAAATAAATTTTAATTAAAAAAACCCATTGCTATCTTTTTCTATCCTAAGTATGGCTGATTTTGATGGATGCTCCAGTAATAAACAGAATCTAGGACATGCAAACTCACTGTGAGAGGGTACGGATCTGCCCTAAACAGAGGAACCAGTTTCCATCAAGCCTGAGTGAGGCTAGCACTGGTAGAATTAATAGCAAATCAGTATCACTGAAATATTCTGCAAAGGATAGTTTTTTTGCTTTCTTTTCACTTTCTTTGGGGAGATAAAGGTTACTGCACCTTGGGATTAACTAATCTGTCATAAAAGAACTGTTAACTACACATCAGTAAAGACAGCCATGAGGAGGCAACATAAAAACACCAATCCCTGCTCACCAGAATCTGAGTCCAACAGAAGATAGCACTGGTTTCAATAATTTTGGTGTTGGACAAAGGCTTCTTTTGTCAGTTAAGAAAGCATCAGCAGAGTTTCACTAGTTAACTGCATTACCAGGATCCATTCATATCAATGAAAAAAACTTCTTGGCACAGTTCACTTTCCAGACCCAAAGATGCCAACAACAATTAAAACTGGACTTTGGGGGTAGTATATTGTTGTACTACCCCAGTCAAAACATCTTTAGATTATAAAATGCACAAATGACTATTATCAATGTAGTTCCCTTTTTAAGAATACTGTTTTTCTATGAATCACTTTTAAGCCATACCAGAAGGTGGAATCTATCTGGAAGAATATGGTTTTTGAATTCTACTTAGTGCTTAGTTAAGTATATTTTATTTTCCCCTTTATTTGAACAGAACCACAGAATGCTCTAAGTCAGGCAATAGGAAGGGGTATGTTCACTTTTAAGTATGAACTGTGAACAATAAGTTGGTGTTTGGACACAAGTCTCAGGGTGCTATTTCTATTCACTGGGACCCTTACTCAGGGATGTAATTGGCTCTGTGTTTTAAGACTGGGAGAGAGGATGCAAATTAAGAGTAAAAGTTCATCAACTACTGTTCCCCCAAAGTGCTGAACACTAAATGATACACACATTTCTGTTAGTGGGAGGGAAGAGCAAAATCTTTTCAAAGTTTGAGTATTTATTAGGATTTTTAAATAAGGAGAACTACGATTTTAACTTTACATCTTGGCTATGTTTTGACAAGGGAGATAGCACTAAGAGTACAGTGACAATCTCCTGTCCCAAGCCAGGATCAATCAATGTTCCCCTCCCCAATCCCACTTCGATCTCAAGACTCTTGTACCTCCCAACTAAACAATTAATGGGCAAATAAAGCCAGCATGAAACCTGAATCAAAAACCAACAAGATGGTCTGCAGTCAGCCAATGCTTTACACAGCCACTCTAATAAATGATTACATGGCCTCCCACAGCACTTTTCAGCTGAAGATGGACCTTTCATATCCTAGTGAAAGACTAGTTTAATATTCTGAGCAAGCTCCATGGTACAATCACAAGTGCTGCAACATTACAAAGACAAGCAAATATCTGAATTTCCCCCCTGTATAATTTTCAGGAACTTAACATGGTTACCCCGTGCAGGGACAGGATTGCATAGCTGCACCTGCAAAGTACAGTTGGATGCTTAAGAGTACAAGGACAATGTCCAGTTCAGCACGGTGTAAGGCATATATGGACAAGAAGAGAGGCCGTTGTTGGCAATAAGTAGCATTATGGAAAAGATTTCAAATCAGCAGGATATAAATGGTGCTCAATGCTCCAGTTTTTTAAAGATAGTAATCCCAAGAATCCAGTTCAAACCCTAGTCAACATGTAGAGCAGAATTCAATCTCTATCTCTGTTTCTCTGGATCTGGGCTGAGGCCATTTGCTCCTGGCTTGGTAAAAAAAGAAAACAGTTTTCCTGTTTCTTTCTTGGCATGGAAACATAGCTTAGAGAAAAGAAGGCCACAAGTCCTGGGACCACTATGAGGGTAGCTGAACTCTACCCACATCCTATATAATTACAAAGACTGGGGAATAGGTAGAGGACAGGGAAATCTGCCTACCCACTAGTATTAAAAACTAAAATTAAGTTAATTGTGAGGCTCTCTACTCTAGAAATGTCCAAATTTAAAAAAAAGAACTTCAAAAAATAAAAAGTTAAATTCCTCTAACTCATTTATTTACATATTATATGTCCAGTATATAATGTGTAGATAAATGTATCCTGCAGTGAAAAAGACCAACTTACTGAACTTAACATTACATTATAAGACAAATTCTTGAAAGGTTTCATCTCACATTGGATTCTTTTAATAAAAAAAAAAAATTAAGAATCAAAGAAAAATGTCTGGCCAGGGCTGGGATGAGACAAACAGGAATACTTCAGAATCCAAGGAAAGGGGAAGACTGTTTGCCTATCTTCAGAGGACTATAGGGGTGCAAAAAGGGAGGGACAGATCATGCACAAAAGTACTTACAAATTACATACCCACACCCACCCCCTCAATAAAAAGAGAAGAAAAAGCCCCATCACTTAACACCAAACAGCAACATTATGAATACACCCTTTCTCTGCTGCCCATCATGCCTTATTTGAAAGAGGAGGCCTGTGAGGAGAAGTGAAAAGAGCCAGGGTGAGAGGGAAGATCTGCACTTCAGTCTCATTTCCAATTTCCTTTTCTCTTACAGAAAGTCTTCAGTCATCTGATGCCTGACATTGAGCTCTGAGCAGAAACCGAGTACGTGGTGGCCACGACAGGGGTGCCATTGTTGGCTGAGTAGCCTTGTCTCAACGTTTCAAAATATGATGCCTGCACCGGTTTGTGATACTGCAGCACTTTTATGGCATCTTCTATTTTAAACCACTCCCTCTTCCTTCCTGCGGAGACAGAGAGAAAATAAATTAGTACAAGAAGGAAGTAATGAGGTTTCTGAGCCTAAAACTTTTCAGAAAATGTAGAAGAAAACATTAAAGCAATGTTTCTCAACACTTCTTAAACATGTCCTTCATTTTTTTCCTTACAAAATATTTATAAAGCACACTTTATATGCTTCAAATATTATACAGATGCCTAATGTAGAAAATCTGTGAGAAATCTGAAGAGCTAAGAGTAATTGTGTAGAACTTCCTTCAGAGAGATCCACTGTAGTGGTTTCCTCCTGCACAGCTTGAGCCTAGGCTTTCCTTGCTTGCACACAAGAGGCCAAAGCCCAGCAGCATCCCTGTCATGTGAAAAATCAACACGAAGACCAGCTGCCAGAAGTACTAGAATAGCTGGCTTGTACTTACTTATTTATTCAAAAAAATTTTGTAAGAGTGATTTTAATAGAAAATATTTTAAGAAAAAGAAAAAACTCAATACAATCACTCTAGATTTTTCAGTTTTTTTTTTTTACTCTTTTTAAGTGTGTTTTAAAATCCTTTATTACATTTCCCCTTATAAAAGTAATAAAGTAAAATTGTTTAAAATGTAGAAACAGGGCTCGGCGCCTGTGGCTCAAGTGGCTAAGGCGCCAGCCACATACACCTAAGGTGGCAGGTTCGAATCCAGCCAGGCCAGCCAAACAACAATGACGGCTGCAACCAAAAATAGCTGGGTGTTGTGGCAGGGGCCTCTGGTCCCAGCTACTTGGGAGGCTGAGGCAGGAGACTCGCTTGAGCCCAGGAATTGGAGGTTGCTGTGATGTCACAGCACTCTACCTAGGGGGATAGCTTGAGGCTCTGTCTCAAAAAAACAAACAAAAAAAAAATGTAGAAACAAAGTAAAGTACAAAGAATACAGGAAGTACCCATCACAGCTCACAGCAACCTCAAACTCCTGGCTGGGCTTAAGCAATTCTCTTGCCTCAGCCTCCCAAGTGGCTGGGGCTATAGGCGCCACAACGCCTGGCTAGGTTGTAGTTGCCATTGTTGTTTGGCAGGCCTGGGCTGGATTCGAACCCACCAGCTCTGGTGTATGTGACTGGCGCCCTAGCTGCTGAGCTACAGGCACTGAGCCAAGAAACTGTACTTTAAAAAACTATAATGAGATCTTGTTTTCCAGTGCTCTGAATCTTGATAAGCTCTGATAGAGTGTGTGGTTAGGAATAAGGACTCTGAAGCCAAGGTCCTGGGTCCAACCACATCGCTGGCTCCAATAAGCTGTGTAGCCTTGAGCAAAATACTGAACCTACCTATGCCTCAATATTCTTCATCTATAAAATAGAGATAATCTATAGAACTTATCTCACAAGTTTGTTCTGAGAATTCATATAAAACCCCTGAAGAGTACCTAGCACAGAGTATGAGTTCACTTTTTTATCATGATTGATTCTTTTTTACTTCACACTGTTTCTTAAGCTATCTTGTATGTTAAAAAAAAATACATTAAAAAAATAATAATACATTTAAGTATACTAATGGTTACCAGAGGACGAGAAGGAAATGCAGGAAGGAGAGGATGAAGGGGGGAAAGAAGAGAACATACATGTATTTATCACACTAAACTGTACACTTAAAAATGGTAAAGATGACAAATTATAAATGTATATTTTACCTCAATAAAAAATAAAAAATTTGACACTTAATGCCTGCATTTTGTCATACCATCTATTATGAATTTACTATCATTCCTTTAACACAGGAATGACGTCCCTATTATTAGATATCAATAGTCTGCAATTATAATTATTATAAATAACATTCTGATTTTAAGAAAAAATCTTTATCCTTGTTTTTTCTTTCTCATTTGAAACAAAATCTTGCTCTGTCACTGTGGCTATAGTGCAGTGGAATGATCATCATCCTAGCTCAACTCAATCTCACATGCCTGGGCTCAAGCGATCGTCCTTCCTCAGCCTCTCGAGTAGCTGGGACCATAAACATGCACCACCAAGCCTGGCTAATTTTTCTATTTTCAGTAGAGACAGGGTCTTACTCTTGCTCAGGATTGTCTTAAACTCCTGAGCTCAAGCAATCCACCTGTCTTAACCTCCCAGAGTCCTAAGATTACAGGCATGAGCCACTAAACTCAGCTTTCAGCCTCTTGAGTACCTGGGACTATAAGCAATATGACCATGCCTTGGATAATTTCTTTTTCAAATTTATTATAGAGACTGGGTCTTGCTATGTTGCCCAGGCTAATCTTGAACTTCTGGTCTCAAATGACCCTTCTACCTTGGCCTGCTAAAGTGCTAGGATTACAGGCATGAGCCACCATGCCCAGGCTCCATTTAAACATTCCAAAATTCTAAACTTTCTCAAATTCAAAATACACATGCTTTTTAAAGTTATTATTATTATTATTTTTATTGAGACAAGAGTCTCACTTTATCATCCTTGGTAGAGTGCCTTGGCGTCATAGCTCACAGCAACCTTAAATTCTTGAGCTCAAGCAATTTTCTTGCCTCAGCCTCCCAAGTAGCTAGAACTACAGGTGCTTGCCACAACACCCAGCTATTTTTTTTTTTAGCAAGCCCAGCCTAGTTTGAACCCACCAGCCCTGGAGCATGTGGCTGGTGCCCTACCTAACCAGTGAGCTACAGGTGCTCAGCCAGAAAGTTTTGGTTTTTTTTTAATTGAGACAAAGTCTTGTGCCGTGGTGTCATAGCTCACAGCAACCTCGAATTTGGGCTTAAGTGATTTTCTTGCCTCAGCTTCCCTGGTAGCTGGGACTACAGGCACCTGCCACAACGCCTGGCTATTTTTTTGTTTGTTTAGCAGTTTTGGGCCAGGTTTGAACCCACCAGCCCCAGTGCATGTGGCCAGCGCCCTAACCACTGAGCCCCAGTACCCAGCCTTAAAATTATTAAACATATACTTCTGTTATTTCTTTTCTTTACCAGGCTCTTATTTTTGGTTATATGTAGCCAAGGGCTCATTGTGGGGAGCCCTTTTGAGGCTGTCTGGTGATGACTTACCAATGTTTACTGAGTCTTCCCAGTCTTCCAGCACTTCCGTGACAATTAGCACATAGACATAGGTTCTGTGCTTCCTCTCCTGGTTCTAAAGAACAAGAGAGAAGAGGACAGAGGAAGAAATTTTCCGTAAGAAAGTTAGGATTATTTAAAGGACACACACTCTTACCCATATGTTCTGAGTGTTTAGATATAAAGATTCCTTTCTCTTTTTATCATCTTACTAAATGGCCACATGATTTAAAACAGGCCATACCTGAATTTGAGGGTGTGTTCTTTGGACAGACTTTTAAAGGCAAACCTTTACATTTGTTTTTCCTCCTTTCCCTAAATGCAACTTCATAAGAAAAAGTCACCATATAAGTAATTAGCTGGAATGCCAGAAGAGGAGAGACTGTAAATGGGTGAGGCACCTAGAGGTCTGTCTGGTGGTTCAGTGATCCCATCAAGGCAAGTAAGTGGAATGGCTCACACAGCTCCCCCTTTTCCCACCAACGCTGCTCATCTTTATTCCTCCTGATTTCTCACATCCTCTGCCTTCTACCATGGCCTATTTCCTTGTTTATCCTGCCTTGCTCTAGCTAATTATTTTGTATTTTTTCTCTACACTTACCTACCCTTCTTCCTACCTTGGCAGGAGAGGAAGAAAGGTAAGAATAGGTAAAATAATTCTAGTTGTTTGGAGGAGAAGACTATGGAATTTAAAAAAGAAAACATGTTGGGCGGTGCCTGTGGCTCAAAAGGGTAGGGCACCAGCCCCATATGCCAGAGGTGGAGGGTTCAAATCCAGCTCCAGCCAAAAAAAAAATAAAAAAGAAAGAAAACATGTTTTTTTTCTTGCCGACACCAACTATATTTCAACTCATCATGGCAGGGAATTGGGAAAAGCTTTCAATTAGCAATAATGGGCTACGATACTGCCACTGCACAAAGCTTTATTTATTTATTTATTATTTTTTGAGACAAAGTCTCAAGCTGTTGCCCTTGGTAGAGTGCTGTGGTGTCACAGCTCACAGCAACTTCAAACTCTTGGGCTTAATTGATTCTCTTGCCTCAGCCTCTCAAGTAGCTGGGACTATGGGCACCTGCCAAAACACCTGGTTATTTTTATTTTTTTTTGTAGAGACAGAGTCTCACTTTGTTGCCCTCGGTAGAATGCTGGGGCATCACAGCTTACAGCAACCTCCAGCTCTTGGGCTTAGGCAATCAATTATCTTTCTCAGCCTCCCAAGTAGCTGGGATCATGGGCACCCACCATAATATCTGGCTATTTTTTGTTGCAGTTTGGCCAGGGCCGGGTTTGAAGCGCCCTACTCATTGAGCCGTAGGCCCTGCCCCTGGTTATTTTTTGGTTGTATTTGTCATTATTGTTTGGTAGGCCTGTGCTGGATTCAAACCCACCAGCTCCGGTGTATATGGTTCTAGCTGCTGAGCTAAAGGCACCAAGCCAAACAAGAAAACATGTTATTCTCTGCTGACACTGATTTGTTTTGAAAACTTACTGAAATAGAGATGGCATCTTTCCTACATTAATATCTATCTGGGTAGATATTATATGATACCATTTGTAATGAAGATTTTAATAGGCTTACCTCAAAAATTCCAACTAATCTTCCCAATGTTCCTTTTACTCCAGCCTGAAAAGTGAAAAAGAAAAATTAACATGTTAACATTATTAAATTGCTGGTCTCGGTCTGAGTCGTCTTGAACAGTTTGTAAAATACAAATAAAAAACAAGAGGATACAATGTGGGCAGACTCCAAGTCTGAAGAATTGTAACAGTGTTTCCTGGGTGTCAAAGACTGCTAATAGCAAGTCCACTCTGGGAGTGGAAATTCCTCTCTTCTCTTTTGGTCTCTCTCCCTGTTGGAAAGCTAGCCAAATACAGTAAGATAATCAAAGCTATGAAGCCATAATAAAAATACTTTGAAGCACTGATTAGTTAGTTTAATTGGATATATACTGAATGCCTAATGTAAGCCAGAAAATAATATCAATGCCAGAGGTACAGTGATCAATAGGCTAGAATATAAGAACCTATGGGAGCAAAACCCTTGGCTATGGCCCGGGTGCGGTGGCTCACCCCTGTAATCCTAGCACTCTGTAAGGTTGAGGTGGGTGGATTGTCCTGAGCTCACAGGTTCCTGAGACCACCCTGAGCAAGAGCCAGCCCCATTGCTAAAAACAGCCAGGCCTTGTGGCAGGCGCCTGTAGTCCCAGCTACTAGGGAGACTGAGGCAAGAAAATCGCTTCAGCCCAAGAGTTGGAGGTTGCTGTGAGCTATGAGGCCATGACACTCTACCAAGAGTGACAAAGTGAGACTCTTATCTTCAAACAAACAAACAAACAAACAAAAAAACCCTTGGCTATCTATATACAACATGCTAGAAGAGAGTTGGGTAGCTCATAGGACTGCAGGAAAGCATTAAGTCAATGAGGACATAAACATAGTAAACCCGCTTGTGAGAGGTATCGTGACAAAAATGCACAGAGCAATGTAATGGACAGTGACAAGAGGAGGGACATATCGAAGCAGTACCCTGAACCCCATAAATGCATCAATGTACAAAGTTAAGATTTAATAAAAAATAATTAATTATAAAAAATTTTTTTTTAAAAAGGCAGAAATCCATTGCTGAGGATTTTTAGAAGAGACTTAACTTGGGCATTCAGTTTGCTTTCAACTAAGAAATAATTTTATGCCCCTTGAGATTTAGTGACAATTCTGATCCAAACAGAGTTTAAGTTTTTTTAATTAATGTCTCATATTTGTATCTCTTTGTGTGCAAAAAAACTTCTTTACGACTAATATTAAGACTCATTTATTTGCCTTTTCTCAGATTTATCAAGCCACATAAATAGCATAACTTTAAAATCATGATACTAATACCACTATTAAAAATTACTAAATAAAAAAAAAAGAGGAGGGATGAATTCAGTGGGTAGATCTTTTTTTTTTTTTTTTGAGACAGAGCCTCAAGCTATCCCCCTGGGCAGAGTGCCGTGGCACCACAGCTCACAGCAACCTCCAACTCCTGGGCTCAAGCGAGTCTCCTGCCTCAGCCTCCCAAGTAGCTGGGACCACAGGCGCCCGCCACAACACCTGGCTATTTTTTTGGTTGCAGCCATCATTGTTGTTTGGCGGCCCGGGCTGGATTCGAACCCGCCACCTTAGGTGTATGTGGCTGGCGCCTTAGCCACTTGAGCCATAGGCGCCGAGTTGGTAGATCTTTTTATTATATACTATCTTCTATTGGTCCTTTCCTATATTTTTAAGATTTATATCTGATGCATTATAAAAGAATTTTTTAATCTGTTCTAATTTACTAATTTTATTTTTGACATCTAGGCTGATGTTTTTCATTTTGACCTATTCTTTTTATATTTACTTATTTCTATTATGTATGTTTTTCTTTTCTTTTTTTGTTTGGAGACAGAGTCTCACTTTGTCACCCTTGGTAGAATGCCATGGTGTCATAGCACCTCACAGCAACCTCAAACTCTTGGGCTCAATTGATCCTCTTGCCTCAGCCTCCCAAGTAGGTGGGACTACAGGTGCCTTCCATGAGGCCGGGCTATTTTTAGAGATGGGGGTCTTGCTCTGGCTCCAGATGGTCTTGAACCTGTGAGCTCAGGCAATCTACCCTTCTCGGCCTCCCAGAGTGTTAGGATTACAGGCGTGAGCCACCATACCTGGCCTATGCTTTTGTTTTCATGACTTTTTTTTTTTTCTTGCAAAGACAGAGTCTCACTTTATCGCCCTGGTAGAGTGCCATGGCGTCCCACGGCTCACAGCAACCTCTAACTGGGCTTAGGTGATTCTCTTGCCTCAGCCTCCCAAGTAGCTGGGACTACAGGTGCCTGCCACAACACCTGGCTATTTTTTGGGTGCAGTTTGGCCAGGTTTGAACCCGCCACCCTTGGTATATGGGGCCAGTGCCCTATCCACTGAGCCATAGGCGCCGCCCCCTTTTTTTTCTTTTTAGAGAAGTTATTCCTTCATTTACTTGAGAACATCATCAAGATATTTAAGTTCTTTGCCAGGCCACTCTACAAAGTTCATTTCATCTGAAGGTGTACTCATGTTCCAATTGAGGCTGCTTTTCTAAGTCTCAAAGTGACTTTCCAAGATAATCTGGGGGATACTATAGATAGAGTCAGAGGGTGGCCTGGCTTTGTCCATTGAAGAGCACTGCATCTGTGCCCACTCCCTATTTAAGCCTGTATCTTTCTTTTCTTCTTTTTTGTTTTGTTTTGTCTTACATCTTCCTAAAAGTCTAAATTCTCCATGTCCTCTTCCCTGATTCCATTTTAGGAGGTGCATCTGAAATCCCTCTCTCCAAGAGGTCCAACCACCAGCCAACTGAGGCTATGTTTTCTAATATGTTTCTGATTCATAAGGTTAAATTCACCTAGCATTTGAGTCAGGGCATATCTTCCTGGGTTTTGGTTTTTATATTTCTTCTGTGTTTGCTGGGAGTAAAAGGGGTGAGAGATGAGGGGAAGAAGAATCCCTAGAAGTACCTGGGTGATGCTGCAACTTGTTTGCTGTTACTTCTGCAATGTTATTTGTGTAATAAATTAAAAATTAATGGCTTGGTGCCCCTAGCACAGTGGTCACAGTGCCAGCTACATATACCAAAGCTAGGGGTTTGAGCCCGGCCTGGGCCAGCTAAACAACAATGACAACTGCAACAAGAAAATAGCCAGACAATGTGGCGGGTGCCTGCAGTCCCAACTACTTGGAAGGCAGAGGCAAGAGAACTGCTTAAGCCCAAGAGTTAGAGGCTGCTATGATGCCACGGCACTCTACCAAGAGCAACATAGTGAGAGTCTGTCTCAAAAACAAAAAAAAATTAAGGCAAAGTACTTAAAATACTAACCGCAGTAGGCACTCAGTAAGTTTGTACAGAATAAAAAAAGCAATTTTTTTCTTTTTTTAAAATTCAGATTAATGTGAAGGTCCAAATGATTAGGTTATATTGTGTTTCTAAGGTAAAGTTCAAGTTGTAGTTGAGGCACTTGAGCCCTTCATCCTGGGAGTCTACTGTACACTCTCACAATGTGTACATAAGTACGCAACGAGTTCTTAAGAGGCCAGGCACAGTCGCTCACGCTTGTAAACCCAATACTGTGGAAGGCCAAAGTGGGAGGATAACTTGAGGCCAGACTTGCCTGGGCAACATAACAAAATGTCTCCTTTCTACAAAAAATTAGAAAAGAAATAGCTGGTTACACAGATGTGTGCCAGTAGTCCCAGCTACTGGGGAGGCTGAGGCAGGTGGATTACTTGAGCTGAGGAATTTGAGGCTGTGGTGAGCTACCATCAGGCCACAGAATTATAGCCTAGGTAAGAGCAAGATCCTTTCTCAAAAATAAACCTTAAAAAGTTCTTATTACATATTTAATGACAGAAATAACAGAAGGTAATATTAAGTCCTAGACTCCTACATGACATACTTTGAAATTAATTTTTGTTATTTATCTTTCAAGGAATTCTGTTATCTTCTCTTGCCAATATGTCTGCTTTCTCTACTATTTTATATCCATTCACCCATGTGGCATTTTTTTCTTTAAATTTTTGGGGAATCATTGAGTATACAAAGAACCAGGTTACACTGCTTGAATTTGTTCATTTTTTTTGAGACAGAGTTTTACTATTTTGCCCTCAGTAGAGTGCTGTGGTGTTACAGCTCACAGCAACTTCAAACTCCTAGGCTTAAGCAATTCTCCTGCCTCAGCCTCCCAAGTAGCTGGGACTACAGGCGTCTGCCATAACGCCCAGCTGTTTTCTGTTGCAGTTGTCATTGCTGTTTAGCTGGCCCAGGCGGAGCTCAAACCTGCCAGCCTTAGTGCATGTGGCTGGTGCCATAACCACTATGCTATAGGCACCAAGCCCACTGCTTGCATTTGTTTGGTAAAGTCCCTCTTATAATTGTGGCCTGCCCCCAAGAGGTATGTCACATACCATGACCCCTCACTCCTTTCCTACTTCCCCTTCTTTACTACCACTTTCCCCCAGCCCCCACTGCGTACAAACATAAATCATCCTCATCTCAGAATTGAGTATTGGATTCTTGCTTCTCCATTCTTGTGATGCTTTATGAAGAAGCATGTGTTATAACTCCATCCAGGTTAACAAAAAAGATGGAAATTCATCATCTTTTTTAGTGGCTGAAAAGCATTCCATGGTATACATATACCATAGCTTGTTAAATCATTCTTGGATTGGTGGGAATTTAGGTTGTTTCCACAATTTGGCAATTGTAAACTGACCTGTGATAAATAGTCTAGTACAAATGTCCTTATGATAAAATCATTTTTTTTTCTTCTGGGTAGATACCCAGTAATGGGATTGCAGGATCAAATGGGAGGTCTAGTTTGAGTTCTTTGAGGATTTTCCATACTTCCTTCCAAAAAGGTTGCATTAGTTTGCAGTCCCACCAGCAGTGTAGATTAAGGGACAGATAAAACTGTCATTAGTCAGGTCTAGTGTTCTATGCCTGTAGTCCTAGCTTCTTGGGAGGCTGAGACTGGAAGAATATTGAGCCCAGCCTAGGTAATATGGCAAGGTCCTATCTCTAAAAGAAAAAAAAAACAAAAAAAACAAACTGTCAGTTTCTATACATTAGTTTCT